GAAAGAAATTAAACAGCTCTGGTCGCATTGGAGCTAAAGAAGTACCACATTGCTATATCTGCACTGAGAAGTAACCATCAGTCGACTACATGAAAGGAGAAAGGAAAATAACACATCGAACAGTTTTCTTGCTGCTCTTTGATACAATACCTTCCTTTGTACTGTGCGTGTTCTTTTGTGCAATTCGCGAGCAGGTCATACGCATGCAGATAATTAATTCTTAGTCGTCGGGACATCATACATCAAATTCGATGGGAGGGTCATATATATCATATATATATATATATATATATATATATATATATATATATATATATATATATATATATATATTTAAAAGTGAACATAAAAGCCAACACTAAGAGCGACAGTCTGTTTCATGCTAGATGCAATCGTCGGGCCTGACGATTGCATCTAGCATGAAACAGCCCAAGTAAGGCAATAATAAATATAGCACATCTTAAAACTATATTTCTTCATATATATATATATATATATATATATATATATATATATATATATCGTAGGACGAATATTGTCTGTGAAAATTTCTCGGACATTCAGGCCAGTAAATGTTATTTAATACTGTTTATTATAAACAGACCATTTGCAAAAATATTTGCATCTATAAAAAAATGTTAAACCTAAAAATGTCTTTATATATATATATATAATGTCATCCACAGACAGACAGTTTTGCTGTTTACAGCTCATCAGTGCGGCTAGACATCCGGTTGCCTCTAGCTAGGATCGAAACCTGACTGAATTGGTGTCACTCGGAGCTTCTAACCACTAAGCCGTCGGCGCACGGTAAGAATGAAGGTGGATTTTTAGCGTATTTTTTGTAAACATGCCCAGTGACTGACAGTGACTCAATTCGCTTACGCGAAGAGTCTCGCTATATTAGCTATAATAGTCACTGTTTACCAACCCACACCCTCTTTCCCAGAAGTATAGGATTGGAGTGCACGGAATGAATTCCAATAACCAAAAATACTATTATTAAAAGAGTGCCCAATACAGAGTAGAATATATATAAATTATTCGAAAATTATAATATATATATATATATAATTTATTAATTTCTTCGAAAATTATAACATAAATATGTTATAAAATCATTGAACCCCATTATTTGATAATACACCAGAAGTGTGAAAACAAATGGCTACTTTTGTAGTTATTTTTATAACACACACACACACACACACACACACACACACACACACACACACACACACACACATATATATATATATATATATATATATATATATATATATATATATATATATAATGTCGTATAAGAGCAAAATTGTCCAATTGTTAGATTAAGGTGTTATATCTTAGAAATGGCTAACGATAGCTTACTAGAATTCTGCGAGGTTTTTATAACACTATTGGATTTTGCTTTGACCAATAAGAATGTATTTAGCTCTAAGTTGAAATGATGATCCTTCTTGCTGTTTTGACATTCAGATCCATTTTTCCTCTTTAGCGACCTATCTTTTTTAAACTTATTCATTGTTATCTTGAATGAACTTTGGAACATGGAAACCAGAGTATGAAGGTTGGTATTATTACTGAAAGTCTGCGTGATCTTTCCCCTCTCACCATTGCTCACTTAGGAAGACAGTGAGGCTGACACAAAATAATTTTAACCTGTTCTCTTTCTAGCTGAATAACTCAAAGTGCTTTTCAGTGATTCTTATGACAAATGGAGTCAAGATGGCTAAATTTCATTTTGACGTCTTTTATCACTGCTCGTTTGGACTGTCATAACTGAAACTTCTCTCTCATAAGACAAATATCTTATAAATCTTTTTTTTCTATTTGATCTCTTTATCTTTAAATTGAAATGATGATCCCCCTTGTTGCTGTGACCTCCTGATCCAGTTTTCTTTTCTACTGTTCCCTTTCTTTTTAATTATTCACTGTTCTCTTGATGGTTCCTGATAAACTTTGAAGATAGAAGCCAGAGTATGAATGTTAGTACCATTAATGAAGGCCTGAATGATCGTTTTCCTCTCAACATTGCTCAATTGGAAAGACAGTGTGTCTGACAAAAAACAATTTTAACCTTCTATTTTTTTAGCTGAATAACTTCTCATGAATATATATATATATATATATATATATATATATATATATATATATATATATATATATATATATATATATATATATATAACTATCGTTTCGGAAAACCCTCGAATTTTTGATTTGCCAATAATCAAATCAATCTCGATGGAAAAAAAGGTTTTAAAAAAAGAAAGAGCTACAAACATGAAAGTCTTTCGAAAAAATCGCACAGATACACCCAAAGAAAAAACCCTGATACGAGTAAACAACTAACTAACAAAAGAGCTCAATACAACCGTAGAGCAGACCATTCCACCTTAATGTTCGTATTTTATTTTGTATTATCCACTCCTCTTTTTGTTGAATAAATCTTTAAAGGTGGTTCGTGTTTGTGTTTGTGTGGTTCTTTCTCTGGTCACATGGTATAATTTTGGCTATCGCCTATAAATATGCGTTTTCCTTTGCCTCTGTAGACAACTTTCCCTGACGATCCGTTTCGGTGAAACCTAGGTAGGTTTTTCTGGCTCATTAAGTTTATCTATCTATCTATCTATCTATATATATATATATATATATATATATATATATATATATATATATATATATATATATATCGGGTGAACGGTAAACTTGTCCAAATCTTGTAACAACAAAATGGTTCAATGGCTCTGAACCTTTGTATTTTCGAAATGATTAAAGATATCTTACTGGAATTCTCTGAGGTTTTTATAAAACTCTGACTCTACTTTGAACAATAAGAATGTATTTAGCTCTAAGTTAAAATGATGATCCCTGCTTTGCCATTCTGATACAGTTTTCCTCTTTACTGTTCCCTCTTTTTTAAACTTATTCATTGTTCTCTTGATCGTTCTTACATGGACTTTGAAGATGGACAATTATCCCATGATTTTACGCTTTTCTGGCGTGCGCAATATTTTGGGCTGTAATTATTGTAATATCTTTGAACATTTCGCATTTAGAGATCTCATTAATGAGTCTCATGAATCTTTATGAAAATTATATATTCAAGCCGGATAAGTTTCTTTTAAATCCGGAAAGGCTGATTATTGTCAATTTGGCTAAAAATGTTTCAGAAAAGCAGATTAATAGAATAGTCATGAGTCATACAAAATATAATACGAAATGGATGTTATTTTGTATTAACGGATTATCGATTTAGGCGTGATTTTTAAAAAAATATGAAAAGTCAAGCATTCGAACAAAGTCAATATTCCTTTCAAGAAATATTTATTTGCTAATGTCTCCTCGATTCCCTTACCGCTTATTATTTATTAGCGGTGTGGCTTTGACAAATTGGTGGATGTTGTTCACAACAGGCCATGCTTGGAGTACTTTAAACTCAATGTCCTTCAGAAAAGCTAGCTGTAGTTTTGTCTTAATAGGAGATTTCCTAATGGAGTGTGGCCTCTTGGCTTCAGTCACTTCCTACCAATTTAACGTAGCTTTCCTGTACTTTTACTAGAAATATTTCTAGGACAATCGTTTTGATGAACTCTCCTCCTTTACAAATTTGAGCGCAGTAGCAGATTGGCAGTTAGGTCTCATCCTTTTCTTCAATTTATTAAACATTTTCGGGTTATTTAAAGGCAGAAAATAGTTTTAGATTGTAAGAATTTAAACTCTGTGTACTTCAGAAAAGCTATGTGCAGGTTTGTTTTAAGAGGTGGGTTCTTAACGGTCTGTGGCTTCTGGGCTTCAGTTAATTTCCCAACAACCTAACGTGGCATTCCTGTACTTTTACTAGAAATATTTCTATGGCAATTTTTCAGATGAGTCCTCTTCGTTGGTAGCTTGACATTACAAATTTAAGCCTAGTAGTATATTGATAGCTAGATCACATCATTTTCCATTGCTTTTCAAATCTTTGTGGGTTATTTAAAGGCAGAAAATAGTTTTAGATTGTAAGATTTAAACTCAATGTCCTTCAGAAAAGCTATGTGCAGGTTTGTTCTAAGAGGTGGGGTCTTAACGGAGTGTGGCCTCTAGGCTTCAACAAGTTTATCTCAATGTCCTCGAGAAAAGCTATGTGCATGTTTGTTTTAAGAGGTGGGCTCTTTACCGAGTGTGGCCTCTAGGTTTCAACAAGTTTATCTCAATGTCTTAGAGAAAACCTACGTGCAGGTTTGTTTTAAGAGGTGGGGTCTTAACGGTCTGTGGTTTCTTGGCTTCAGTCAATTTCCCAAGAACCTAACTTTCCTATACTTTTCCTTTCTAGGGCAATCGTTCTGGTGATCTTTGCTCGTTGGTACCTTGACTTTACAAATGTCGGACCAGTAGTAGATTGGCAGCTAGGTCTCATCCTATTCTACAGCTTATCGGCACTTTGCCGGTTATTTAAAGGCAGAAATAGTTTTAGGTTTTTAAGAATTATTTCTTAGAGATAATAATAGTTTAATGCTACAAGTCTTACTAATTAACCCATAGCTGGAGGGAGAAGAGGCGGATTCATATCTTTACCAAAGGTATTGGCTCGTAAGTGATTTTTTAAATGCATATCACCCCAGCAAGGCAGCAGTGCCACTAGCACGCAAAGGGTTACAGAGAATGACAGCAAGAGTAAAGAGGGGTGTTTGAGGAAAGAATACAGACAAGGACAGGGATCAAGATCAAGGCATCAGTAGATGTCGATTGACATTATATTTGATTATTTGAAGATTATAGTTATCAAAGAAGCAATTAAGAAGAAAGGGAGTTCAACTGTTGGGAAGTGCGAGATAAGAAGCTGCTGAGGTAGAAACGTCTACATATCACCGTTTCTACTGTGAAAGGGTGGGACCGAAATGCCAACCTAGTAACAGGCTTAAATTCATAACGAACGCAACGCGTATTAAAACTCGGCTCTCCGATTAACAATTCCGAGCCATTATCATGTCACCACACGTACATCCAAACATAGAGCAACTGGTAATCCCAAGCGGTCACCCATCTAGGTACTGACCAGGCTCGACGTTGCTTAACTTCGGTGATCGTACGGGAGCCGGTGTTCCAATGTAATATGGACGTAAGCTTTGTATTCTTTACAGTAAGCAAACCGAAGTGATATCAGAATATAGAACGGCCTTTCGAATTTGTTTCAAAAGTAAAATTAAACCTATCTGAGCTTGGTTGACACGAGGCTATTACATGCATGCAATGCCTGACATCTCTTTTAAGTAATCGCTTAGCGACGAAGTCGTTTAGCGACCAGATCGTCTGAATTGAAACCAGGAGTTAAGTGAGAATTAGATATAATTTCAAAATATTATTATCACTGTCCATGTTTATTTTTAAGAATTTATTCCATTTAAAATATTTTTTCTAAAAAATAGGTTCGGTTTAATGAACGATTGTAACCCGAAATTTTGCTGATTGCCCCAAACGCAGATAATCGAAATGCCGGTTTTTAATCCGCGAATTATACTATACATAATTTATGTAGCAATTACTCAATTATTGTGATCATTATTTATTAAGAAAATACCATAACACTCTCCACTTAGTGTATCTCATGAAACTGAAAGGTAGTTCTGTTTTCAGTAGATTAGTTGATGTTTGCCACATTGTCTTGAAGAAGAACAATAGTAGTTCTTACAGCAGCAAAATAAAACCTAAATATAAACAGCGCATTTTCTAAACGTACTTCTAAAAATTAATCTTCATTATGAAATACATTAAATGAATGATCACTTCGCTAATTAGATCTTCTATAATTACCTTGTTTGTTTGGTATAAACCAAGAACAGATATAATTAAACACACCCACTTTCAGAAGTGCAAAGTCAGGTAAAAAGGTTTTACTGTAGTTACGTCTGGTAACATTTAAAGCAAATTACAAAATCTTACACTCTATTTACAGCATGAAACATTAATGCATATAAAAGCAGGTTATCGGTAGATTGTTGTTATTGTTGTTGTTGTTGTTGTTCTTCTTCTTCTTCTTCTTCTTTGTTTCTTCAGGGCGTTGGCAATCATGACTTTCCACAATTTCATGTCCTTTATATCTCTTAATAAATCGGTTTTGTTTCCATTTAAAAACAGCACAAAAGCTATAGCACAAAACATTACTGTATATAAAAAGCAGGCTAGGAATAAATTCTTCTTCTCCTGCCATTTCCCTTTAGTACGTTGGCAATCATAGCTCTCCACAATATCGTTTTTGTATATGTTAATAATTTTGTCTTTTTTGTCTTCTAAATCTATTCTACAACCCGTGTACCCATGTTCGCTAAGGAGGTTACACATTGTTTTCCTCTGTCTTACCTGGATTCAATCTATCCTGTAAGTATCGAAGTTTGCCTAGCCCTTTTCCTCCATTATGTATCCTAGAAATTTCAGTCTCTCTCCGATATTGAGTAGAAATGCCCCTTTCCATTTTAAAACATTCTAAAAAATATAGATAGCTACAGCACAAGATATTGCTGTATATAAAAAGCAGGCTAGCAGTAAATTCTTCTATGTGCCGTGTCCATTCAGGACATTATCGATCACGGTTCTTCACAATTTTCTGTCCTTCATAGTACTTAATAATTTCAGTCGTTTTGTTATTTCTCCTATACTGTTTACACCAACCACTTACTCAAGCTCACTAAGTAGGCTATGCGTTGTTTTCCTCTGTCCTTGCTTTAAATCTGTCTTGTGAGTATCAGGTTTTCCTAGCCATCTTTTCTCATTGTCTGCTCCAGTAATTTTAACTGTCTCCACCTTAGGTGAAGTATAAGTTTTCATTTATGTTTTTATTGTCTCTAAAACTTCATCATTCCTCACATGGCCAGTCCATAGTATTCTCAGCATCCTTTTGTAGAACCACAATTACTTTTGAGTCAAGTCTCTTCTTCATCTTTGAGGTGATTGTTCAGCATTCATTCTCATATAGGAGGACAGATATCACGTAACAGTTCAATGGTCTTTTCTTTGTTTCTAACGAATTATTTCTGTTTCTTAATACATTGCTTAGCTTTTCGAGGGCATCTTTCGCTATTTCAAAGCGCCTTCATATTTCATTGTTGCACAGTCTGTTAAATCACATCAAAGATATTTAAATTGTTGTACTAGTTTTATTTTAACATCTCCAATTTTTACTTTGCGTGTTGGGTTGTCCCTTTTGCTAACAACCATGCCTTCTGTCTTTTTGCAATATTAACGACGTAACTGGCTCCCAGCTAATAACGAGGGAGGGTATTTAAAATAGGGAAAACACTGGAATCTCCTTCTGCAAACACTTAATAATTAACCATGTTTTTATACTATATTATTCTATCTTGGTCTTGTATGCGAATAGATGTCTTCTTTTGTGGAATTAATGAGTATAAAAATTGTTTGACTGCTCCGAACGTTTTCGGCTAATGTACGAGCCACATTGAGGAATAAAGGATTTGATAACTCTTCTATAACTTTTAGTCTGTCTATAATAGAAGGGGTTGGACGCAGTATCACCACTGTAGAGGAACAACGTAAAAGTAGAGAGAATGATGTTCGGCATCACTTTAAGAAACAGGAAGAACAACACCTGGATTCGACAGCAGACTAGGATGAAGGGCATAATCGAGACCACGTAGACAAGCACACATATATTCGCTGATCACCTCTCTCGTGTCAGACACAACAGGTGGAGTATTTGAACGATGACAGAGTGGACACCAAGGCAGTAGAAAAGAACTTTTAGGCCAGCCAAAAGCATGATGACGCGACGATCTGACCGGATACTCCGGTTCCACATGGCACGGTACGGACAGAGATAGGAAGTGGTGGAGATCAACAAGGAAGGAGAGATGGCACTTTGGCAGGAATACCTCGATTAACGCGAATTCGATTAGTGTGCTAAAACGTTTCATAGCAAAATTCGTTTAGTGCTTGCATAATACTCGATTAGTGCGGTAAATCATTTTTCAGATGTTTTTTTAGTTACCGATTAATTTAATTTTTTTATAGTTACCGTTTAATTAAAAAAAAATTAAATTTAAAAATAGAAAATGGAATTAATTTTGTCAAGTATTACTTTATCTAAGTAAATTAAAGTCGTGTTAAATGTGTACGGTTATAAATAAATGCATTTTATAATATGTATATCTGGACAATTCTATTCGATAATACCTGTCTACTAGGGCGGTTGGCCACTCCCTATTGCAGACGCTTGCTCAGGAACATTTTGTGTTTGTTCAACACCCACAGAGCCCACCTGTGGTTTATACTGCAACTATACTGAGCATACCTTAGTTACAGTTTCTGGGAGAGAGTGTGTTATCTAGCGTGATCGACTATTTGAACAAGACCAGCACGGCCACGATGACTTTTGACTTTGTGACAGCCCGGGTATCGACGCTCTTGAACAGGTTCCGTCTACCCAGTCTCACTCACAAGGCCACAATACGTGGTGTGGTTTTCAGCACGCTGAGTTCGACCCCTCCAGTCCAGATAACATCAGGAAGTCGTTAAATCGACCATGGTGAGATTCGAACACGGGTCTCATGGTCCGAATGCACACGTTCTAACCATTCGACCACGTGCCAATTATTTTATAACATATGCTGATAGCAAAGATATATATTTGAATATTAATTTTTTTAATTTTTTTTTTCACATTTTTTTGGAGGTTTTAAAAGAAAATTTTCGATTCTTGTAAAAAAAATGGACGATTTAATTAGATACAGAAATTTACATTTATATATATCGAAATATAAAAGGTGTATGCATTTACTGTAGAAAATAATTTGCAAGTTAAAATACGAAAAAGATAGAAAATATACATACGGTTAGATTTAAAAAAAATTAAATTGAATTATTATGTTTTAGATTTTAATATTTACCTACCCGCCAGTATAAGATGATAAAGAACGAATTAGATGATTCTTCGAGGATCATTGAAGAATTTAAAAGAAAATGTTTAGAAGCAGACCCTTCTGAAAACCGTAAGTGCAATTTTTCAGTACCCGCCATTGATATGTAGAACAGAAGAATACCATGCGGCAAAACACTCTAAATAATTTTTTCATAAACAATCAAACTGTAGTGGATTGATAAATAGGATGCTACCTATTTTCATATGTTAAGTAGAAGAGATATAAAGTGTATAGTAAATGAAGTGACAAGGAGGAAGTTGACTAATGATCATATCTGATAGAACAACCAATTACAACAAATACAAAAGATACAATACACATTAAATAAAATATCTTTCTCCACAGGAGATGTTATATACGATTGTGTATAAAATGCATAATATGCATATGAAAAATGTGACAATCACAAAAATATAACTGAGTAACAAGACAAACATTGCTTAAAACTTCAAAGGATAGGAAGTTGTGGAGAGCTAAGTGAATAGTAATTCAACCTTGAGAAAGAGCTATTTATGGTGCCATGGAGCATCTCATTGTGCTAAAGTGGGATAGTCCATTGCTTGGGTTGTGATTGGCTGCTATTACCTGAGTGGAGGTATTTCTATATAAATACCAGCTTGATTTCTCAGTTAGTTTGCAGGGTTTGTATTAAGTTACAACCTGCTTTATTTTTGTCTGCCAGCTGGACGCTAGCTGGGACCCTTACGCCGGTAAGTGCTGTTTATTGTATTGTTATTCTACACAAACTAACAAAGATTAATTCAGAGCATTTTTATTGTATCGTCAGATATGTACCTATATTTTACTTTAGAAGGTACGCAAATTAGAAATTAATTGTGAATGAGATTAAAATCTAAAGTACAAATTACATCATTTCCTATAAGTTATATTCGATTAATGCTTTTTCGATTAGTGTGTATCTTTTAATGTACTCATTAGTCGCACTAATCGAGTGATCATTGTACATATACATGTACATCACAAACACACACTCACACACACAAATACACACACACATACATACATACATACATACATACATACATACATACACACACACACACACACACACACACACATATATATATATATATATATATATAAAATTTCCTTTAAACACAACTGACACGGTACTGAGATAAGACATCTTATTTAATTTTTCTTGCGTTCGTACCAGTGTTTTCTTTTCT